CATAATTGTAGCCAATTTAAAAACAGTGCTTTTGTATTCTACTAACATTTTTCTTTCCTCTTACAGCTGGGAATGGAGGAAGAAGATGTGATTGAAGTTTATCAGGAACAAACTGGGGGTCATTCAACAGTTTAGATAATCTTTTTATTTTTTTTCTTTTCCCTCAATCCTTTTTTATTTTTAAAACTAGTTCTTTTGTAATGTGGTGTTCAAAACAGAATTGAAAAGTGGCACCCCATCTCTTTGAAACATCTGGTAATTTGAATTCTAGTGGTCATTATTCATTATTGTTTGTTTTCATTGTGCTGATTTTTGGTGATCAAGCCTCAGTCCCCTTCATATTGCCCTTTCCTTTTTAAAAATTACGTGTGCACAGAGAGGGCACCTTTTTCAGGACATTGCATTTTTAAGCTTGTGGTGATAAATAAGATCGACCAATGCAAGTGTTCATAATGACTTTCCAATTGGCCCTGATGTTGTAGCATGTGATTGCTTCACTCCTGGACTGTGACTTTCAGTGGGAGATGGAAGTTTTTCAGAGAACTGAACTGTGGAAAAATGACCTTTCCTTAATGAAGCTACTTTCAAAATTTGAGGGTCTGGACCAAAAGAAGAGGAATATCAGGTTGAAGTCAAGATGACAGATAAGGTGAGAGTAACTCCAAAGATGGCTTCACTGAAGAAAAGGCATTTTAAGATTTTTAAAAAATCTTGTCAGAAGATCCCAGAAAAGTTCTAATTTTCATTAGCAATTAATAAAGCTATACATGCAGAAATGAATACAACAGAACACTGCTCTTTTTGATTTTATTTGTACCTTTTTGGCCTGGGATATGGGTTTTAAATGGACATTGTCTGTACCAGCTTCATTAAAATAAACGATATTTGTAAAAATCGTACTAATGCTTATTTTATTTCAATTGTAAAGAAAGAAAAGCCTAAAGTAAGGTTTTCTTGCATAGATACTGGAAATTACACCTGGTACAAATTTTTCCTTCATTACTGTACAGTGATGATGTTAATGACTTTGAAGCACTGAAAGTTACTGAAGTGCCTTCTGAATCAAGGATTTAATTAGGGCCGTAATACTTTTTTAATACTCAGTGTTCTGTTTTTTTAAAAAAAACTTGATATTCCTGTATGGAACATATATATGATACAGTTACCTAATCATGTTGAATAAATGGGCATGCCAAAAATTCTTAATTGATTTATATTGATAATTTCAATTGTTCCTTTAACAATTTACAGAATGGTAAGGCTTGGTATACTTTATGTTTTCCTTTTATTTCTCTCTCTCTCTCTGTGTGTGTGTGTGTGTGTGTGTGTGTGTGTGTGTAGTTTTTTTTTTGAGATGAGTCTTGCTCTGTCACCCAGGCTGGAGTGCAGTGGTGTGATCGGCTCACTGCAACCTTTGCCTCCCAGGTTGAAGCAATTCTTTTGCCTCACTCTCCCAAGTAGCTGGGACTATAGGCGCGCCACCATGCCTGGCTAATTTTTGTATTTTTAGTAGAGATGGGGTTTCACCATATTGGCCAGGCTGGTCTTGAACTCCTGACCTTGTGATCTGCCCACCTCAGCCTCCCAAAGTGCTGGGATTACAGGCTTGAGCCACTGTGACTGGCCTGGCTTGCTTTCTTTCTGCTTTTTTTTTTGAGATGGAGTCTTGCTGTGTAGCCAGGCTGGAGTGCAGTGGTGCGATCTCAGCTCACTGCAACCTCTGCCTCCTGGGTTCAAGTGATTCTCCTGCCTCAGCCTTCCAAGTAGCTGGGACTACAGGCGCGTGCCACCATGCCCAGCTAATTTTTGTATTTTTAGTAGAGATGGGGTTTCACCATGTTGGCCAGGATGGTCTCAATCTCTTGACCTCGTGATTCACCCCCCTTGGCCTCCCAAGGTTTTGGAATTACAGGCGTGAGCCACTGCACCTGGTGTGGCCTTATTTCTTTATATCTTAAATGTTTAAACTTTGTGTAAAATTCAAATACCAGATTAGTTTGTTTGTATTAGAGGTCTTAACTTTTATTTTTAATGCTAATGAATCACAGAATTTACTATATCTCTGCATACATACAGTCCAGTTTCATATTATCTCAAATAGAATGCCATCTAACTACTTTAGAAGACCAAATAAAACCCACCTTGAATGCATAAGCTATAAACTGTTATAGCTTACATACCTATTCAAGTCACCTTTTGAGAAAGAGATTGGTTTGATCTTATAGTTCTTATGTTTGACCCTGACTGAAAAATTATTTGTATAGGGTAAGTTATAGCTTTTAGATTGTCACTTGATATTTATCCTTGTATTCCTTAAACAGTGACTAAGAACTAGGCCTATTTTAAGAAAATCCTCCAGAGTTGCATATTTCTGTCAAGACTGAAAAACAGATCTGATTGGGTATTTGAACCATGTAAATTTTTGTTTCTTTTTTTTTTTTTTTTTTTTTTTCAGACAGAGTTTCACTCTTGTTGCCCAGGCTGGAGTGCAATGGCGTGATCTCTGCTCACTGCAGCCTTCACACTTCCTGGGTTCAAGTGATTCTCTTGTCTCAGCCTCCTGAGTAGCTGGGATTACAGGCATGTACCACCACGCCTGGCTAATTTTTGTATTTTTAGTAGAGACAGGGTTTCTCCATGTTGGTCAGGCTGGTCGGGAACTCCTGACTACAGGTGTGAGCCACCGTGCACGGCCAGTTTGGTATCTCAATTTTGTTTGCACTTCTAAATGTCTGAAGGCTCTCAGGATTTCGGTGGTGTGATTTAGCTACTGGGGAAATAATCTTCTTGTTTTTAGTTTTTTGGATTCTTCTAAATGCACTGCTCTCTGCTATGGTTAAACGTGCTTATCTGATTAGCAGTGCTGATAAATAGGCATTTCACAACAAAAATTTTAACACATTATTAGATTTCTTAAGGGAAGAATAAAATTTAGTGAAGCCACTCTTATCTGGTGCTTGACTGCAACATCTAAATCTGTAAAAGAAGGGAAAAACTAAAGTTAGCAATGGTAATTTCCCCCACAAAGATGATTTCCTTGTGTTTGTTCTGTTGTGGGTTGAATTATTTGAGATGTTCCTTTCTTATCTGATTAAGTACTGTTGAATGAATTGATTGAATGAATGAATGTGCATTTAAGGTCCACAAGCTTGAGAAAATGCTTAGATGACATATTGAAGTTTACTGTGATATTATCTAGTGTTTGACTATTTTATTTCTATTTAATTCTTATATAAAATAAGGATCAAATCTAAGCAAGTCCAGTAACAGCAATACAGACTCCAAACAGGTTTGATTTCTGGGTTGTAGAGGTGTAGTTTCTGTAGAAAGCAAATACCTTAACAAACATTAATGAGGAATTGGAGGTAATTACTTGCAAATATTAAGCTTTTCATCTGTAGACGGTGAAGTATAGAGTAGGGCCAAAAGAAATTTGTGAAAAAATTCAGGTTCAGATGCTCTGGATTTAAATAACATCCTTTTATATAACTTGCATGCTAAAAATACCTTTCATCATCCATTTTGTTAAAGGGATATGTTATTAAATATTAAAAGAGAGATGTTAAAGATCAATATCTAATCCAGGTTCATCCTGGGCCTGGCACAGTGGCTTGTGCCTGTGACCCCAGCACTTTGGAAGGCTGAAGCAGGCAGATCACTCAAGCCCAGGAGTTTGAGACCAGCCTGAGCAACATGACAAAACCCCGTCTGTACTAAAAATATACAAATTAGCCAAATGTGGTAGTGTATGCCTGTAGTCCCAGCTACTTGGAAGGCTGAGGTGGGAGGATTGCTTGAGCCCAGGAGGTCAAGACTGCAGTGAGCTGTGATTGTGCCACTGCACTCTACCTTGGGCTACAGAGCGAGACTGTTTCAAAAAAAGACATCCTGGTAGAGTCAATAATTTTTCAACTGGAGAAATTTTGTGAGTTGTTAATTCTTCAAGGCACAGGGGCTAAAACTCAAGATTTATTAATGTTCAGGGCTCTAGAGTAATGCTACCCAATAGAATTTCCTGTCATGGAAATATTCTACATCTGTGCTGTCCAGTACAGTAGCCAATAGCCACATATGACCACTGAGCACTTGAAATGGGGCTGTTGTAACTAAGAATGTTTTAACAAATTTAAGTAGCTACATATAACTGGTGCTGTGTTACTCAACAGTACAGCTCTAGAATCTGTACTTTGAGGATATGAGAATGGCCTCACAAAACAGCTCATTTTGCTGAAATGAACATTTATCAAGTGATTACAAATACACATTGTTCTAAATAGACATTAAGTTTTAGATCCTTAGGGTAAAATGGTTGTGGTTTTGCTTTACAGAGGTGTATAATAAAATTTCCTAACATATATTTGAATATATAAATTAGTTTCTCTGAGCTAATTCAAAATTATTTGCATTACACAATTTTCAATTATCTGCAACTCTTTCAGACACATTGACTGAAATGAAATACTTTGACTATCCTAAGACCATGTTAGTGTTTCAGACTGAAATTATGGGCAGTTTTAGGCACCAAGGCTTCTGGATTTATGTGGTTCTGGAGAACATAAAGGATTTAGGTGAGTGAAGAGTTCAATTGGGTTGAACAAAGTGTGTGTGAGTTGTTGAGGGGTGGTGGAAATGGAGGTTTCAGAGTAAAGAATGTCTTAGGCTGGGTTGAGGTTAACCAGATGAAGTGGAACTAAATGGGTCAGGATGAAACTTTTTTTTTTTTTTTTTTTTTTGGTGGGAGGTGGGGAGGGGATGCGGAGGGGGAGGCACTGGGGTAGGATGAAACTTCTTTTAAGAGACAGGGTCTCACTCTCACCCATGCTGCAGTGTAGTGGCACCATTATAGCCCAGTGCAGCCTGGAACTCCTAGGCTCAAGCGATCCTCTTGCTTCAGCCTCCTGAGTAGCTGGGATTACAGGCACACCCCACCATGCCTGGCTAATTGAAATTTTTTTTTATAAAGATGGAGTTTCCACTATGTTGCCTGGGATGGTCTCGAACTCCTGGCCTCAGGCAAGCATCCCACCTCAGCCTCCCAAAATGTTGGGGTTACATGCATGAGCCACCATGCCAGGCCCTTGGAACTTTATTAAAAAGGGAAGTTTCTCTTTTTGTCACCACCTCCCAACTTACTCTTTAGTTTTCTTCTAGCCTTAAGGCCTGGGTATTTGTAGGAACTGGAAATAAGAGTAAACCCATGGTCTGGAAATGTTGTGTGTCCACTGCAGGCTACTGGCTTCCTTACGGAGTTCTTGATGGAAATGAAGATGTTTCTCCAAAGCAGCTTTTTGCCTAAGGAGACAACCCCACCCCAATTACAATAATTATTAAGCACCCTAGAAATTGTCCTTATAAGCTAGCTGGATAACTTTAGATTTGAATAATTATCAATTAGACTTGGGGCTGTTGATCTTGAATTTTAGTGGAAGATCATACTCTTCATTTAGTAAATTTACATATGAGGTTTACAGTACCACGAGCCTCCTATTGGAAAAGTAAAAGGAAAGGCATAACTCACAGTGTTTTTTTTTTTTTTTTTTTTTTTTTGAGATGGAGTCTTGCTTTGTTGCCCAGGCTGGAGTGCAGTGGCACTATTTCAGCTCATTGAAACCTCCACCTCCTGGGTTCAAGCGATTCTTCTGCCTCAGCCTCCTGAGTGACTGGGACTACAGGTGCGTGCCACCACACCTGGCCAAATTTTGTAGTTTTAGTAGAGGCAGGGTTTCACCATATTGGCCCGGCTGGTCTTGAACTCCTGACCTCGTGATCTGCCCGCCTCAGCCTCCCAAAGGGCTGGGATTACAGGTGTGAGCCACCGTGGCGGGCCAACTCAATTCTTAATACTGCTGAAAAGGACGCCCTCGTTTAAGAGATGAAGAAAGGGCCAGGTGCAGTGGCTCATGCCTGTAATTCCTGGACTTTGGGAGGCTGAGGCAGGCAGATGGGCCAGGTGTTTGAGATTAGCCTGAGCAACATGGTGAAACCCCATCTCTACTAAAAATAGAAAAACTGGGGGGCAGCGCCACTCAGGTGTTGAGTGATGTTAGGTGGAGGGACTGTGACGTGACAGAAGTGGCTCTGAACAGAAAGAGGATGAAAAAAATGGTCCCCACAATGCCGGTGTGAACCGGACCTGCAGCCAGTGTGAACAGCAAAGGTCAGTATCCAGCACAGCCAACCTACCCTGTGCAGCCTCCTGGGAATCCAGTATACCTTCAGACCTTGCATATTCCTCAGGCTCCACCCTATACTGATGCTCTACCTGCCTACTCAGAGCTCTGATCTGAGCACTGTGCACCCAGGGGCTGCCACAGTCCCCACCATGTCAGCTGCATTTCCTGGAGCATCTCTGTAACTTCCCATGGCCCAGTCTGTGGCTGTTGGGCCTTTGGTTCCACAATCCCCATGGCTTATTATCCAGTGGGTCCCATCTATCCAGCTGGCTCTACAGGGCTGGTGGAAGGAGAGTATGATGCGGGTGCTAGATTTGGAGCTGGGCTACTGCTAGCAACATTCCTCCTCCACCTCCTGGATGCCCTCCCAATGCTGCTCAGCTTGCAGTCATGCAGGGAGCCAACAGCCTTATAACTCAGCGGAAGGGGAACTTCTTCATGGGTGGTTCAGATGGTGGCTACACTATCTGCTGAGGAACCAAGGCCACCTTTGTGCCAGGAAGACGTCACATACCTTCAGCACTTCTCACAATGTAACTGCTTTAGTCATATTAACCTGAAGTTGGAGTTTAGACATATGTCGTTGGGGTGTCTTTCTGGTGCCCAAACTTTCAGGCACTTTTCAAATTTAATAAGGAATCATGTAATGGTGGGTATCTCCCTAAAGCATTTTGAGGTAGGGAAGGTATCCATTCATAATATGAATGTGGGTGAAGCCGCCCTAAGGATCTTCCTTTAATTTCTCTGGAGTAATAGTATACCATACTGCTCTTTGAGTTTGGTAATAAAATGTCAAATTAGGATTAAAGGGAACTTAGATCTTCCTAAGACTTACAGTTGCCAAATTATTCTGATTGGTCTTTAATCTCCTTTAAGTTTTTGATTTATATTGTTGTAAATGGAACACATTAGTTGTCCCCATCTTCCTTTCCATCCCTTGCCCCACCCATTCCATCTCCAACCTTAGTCTTCCACTTCCTCCTGCCAGTCTCCATTGAATCAACAGTGCAGGACAGAAAGCCAGTCAGACTAATTTCCTCCTTTCCTTGAACTTCTCCCCACTTGTCATCTTGTAACTAGTCTTTCACAAGGATCCTCTGAAACCTGCAATGTGCCCCAAGCACAGATCCCGTTACTTCTGCTGCTTTCATATCTCCTCAGGCAATAGTGGAGGGTGACTTTTGGACCCTCCTCATAGGTTGTGTCTGCACACATGAACCTAACCCAAATTTGCTTTGGTGCGAGAAAACTGAGCTATGTTTGAACAAATGTATCATGCAAACTGTTCTGTGAACAACAACTGGTTTAAAATATGAGGGGCAAGGAGGAGGATGCATTTCAAAAGCCTGATTGATGTGTTTAGAGCCAAATTAAGAGGCGTTTTCACGTCAAAAATTGGTTACTATTTTTTGTCAGAGTGTCTGATGCAGCTACTCATTCGGCTCCCCAAAATTCCTAGACTGGGTTAATAGAGTCATATTGTGAATGCCTCACTACTAAATGACTTGAGTCCAGTGAGAAATCTCATTAGGGTTAAGAATATTTCAGGGATCCTTAATCATTTGAGTTTCGTTTTCTGAAATTGGATTTTATTTTATCTTATAATTTCAGTTCATCTAAATTGTGTGATCTGTACACGTGATGTTTGACTGTACCATTGACTGTTATGGAAGTTCAGTGTTGTATGTCTCTGCCTACACTGTGGTGTGCTTAACTTGTGGATTTTTTATACCAAAAATGTAGAATACAGACTATTTTGAAGATTTGAAAAAAAAAAAATAAAAACTAGCCAACCTGGTGGCTCCCTACCAGCTACTCGGAAGGCTGAGGCATGAATCTCTTGAATCTGGGAGGTGGAGGTTGCAGTGAGCTGATTGTGTCCCTGCACTCCAGCCTGGGCAACAGAGTGAGATTCTGTCTCAAAAAAAAAAGTGGGGGGTGGGGTGAGAAAACAGGCCAGAGAACTTAAAGTACCTGGGCCAGTGTCACACAGTGAAGATGAAATAAAGCCAGTTGATATGCAATTCTCCTGAGTCTTGGTAGAGTGAGGCTCTTCTCCTCATCCCTTTTGTTAAGTTGGTTTTCTGCTTTCAGCTACTTGGACTATCCTTATAAATTGCCCAGCTTTGCCTTGGATGACTGTCAGTTTCCTTCTCGTGGAAAGTTGGAACTCCCAATAGTTAGCTTGTGGTCTCGATATTTAGGAACCTAATTCTGCTGCTATGGGACATGGAGTAGATAATTTTGAAATGAAGTGAGGGCTTGCCTAATGATTCATTTTGTAATTCACCTAACAGCTGAGGAAAGTCCAGAGGAGGAAGAACTCAAGGTTAGTAGACAACCTTGAAATTGAGTTGCATTGGCTTTCTGGTCCCCTAAAGAATATTTATCATCTTAGATTCAGCTTAAGTTGTGGACAGATATTTGAAGGGGAAAAGTATTTACAGTTAAGGTTGGAATCACATGGTTTTCTGGGTGGTGCCTCTTTACCTTGCAACTTTGGTGGTTCTAAAGAGGGACAGTTTTTAGTTACTTTCTCTAAGGAGGAGAAGTTCATGATGTAGCTACTATAGAGGTCCTAGCTTTTAAAGAGTCAATTGAAATATATACCTCAGTTTTTATTATCAGTAAGATGCAATGATAATCAGTATTATAGGAGAATAAAGGGGGAAAACCCTGATGACTTTGTTTCTGTGCTTTTTCTTCTAACAAGGCCCTCATTTTAGATCTGGTCTTGGCCTGTGTCCCTAACTTCACCTGGAAGTATCCTTTGCCCTTTGTCCCCTTCATTCCATCCATACTGTCTTTTATTCTTCCAACATGCCAGCCTCATTTCTTTCTTCAGACCTTTATACTTACTGTTTACATGCTGGGATATTTTTTCTCCCAGATGTTTATGTGGCTCTTTGTCATTCAAGTTTCACCATATTTGACACCTCTTCTGAGAGGTCTTGCCCTGGTTAACCAATTAAGCCACATGCAATTCTATCACATCTTTTTTTCTTTTTTCCTCACTCTTGTCACCCAGGCTGGAGTGCAATGGCTTGATCTCGGCTCACTGCAACCTCTGCCTCTCACGTTCAAGTGGTTTTCCTGCCTCAGCCTCCCAAGTAGCTGGGATGACAGGTGCCCGCCACCACACCCAGCTAATTTTTGTATTTTTAGTAGAGATGGGGTTTGACCATGTTGACCAGGCTGGTCTCGAACTGCGGACCTCAGGTGATCCACCCGCCTCGGTCTCCCAAAGTGCTAGGATTATAGATGTGAGCCACCATGCCTGCCTCCCTTGTTTTTTTTTTTCTCTCTCTTTTTTTTTTTTTTTAAAAGAGTCTTGCTCATGGAGTACAGTGACTTGATCTTGGCTCACTGTAGCCTTGACCTCCCAGACAATTTTCTGATCCAGCTCTCAAATCTGTGATTGTGAGGGACTCCTTGTGAGAAACTTTGCAAATGCCTCCTGTATAGCTGGGACCACAGGCATTCACCACCATACCCGGGTAATTGTTTATTTTTATTTTTTTGTAGGAATGGGAGCCTCACTTTGTTGCCTAGGCTGGTCTTGAACTCCTGAGCTCAAGGGATTCGAAGTGATTCTCTTGTCTTCATCTCCTAAAGTGCTAGAATTACATGTGTGAGCCACTGTGCCCGGCGTCCTATCACATTTTAAAATTTTTTCTGCATAGCATTTATTGCTGGCTTTAAAAAGTTTTTGTTGGCTGGGTGCGGTGTCTCACGCCTGTAATCCCAGCACTTAGGGAGGCCAAGGCAGGTGGATTACGAGGTTGGGAGTTCAAGACCAGCCTGGCCAACATGGTGAAACCTTGTCTCTACTAAAAATACAAAGATTAGCTGGGCATCTCAGCACATGCCTATAATCCCAACCACTCGGGAGGCTGAGGCAGGAGAATAGCTTGAACCAGGACCTGGGAGGTGGACATTGCAGTGAGCTGAGATTGCGCCATTGCACTCCAGTCTGGGCTACAGAATGAGTCTCTGTCTTAAAAAAAAAAAAAAAAAAAAAAGTCTTTGTTTAGAGTTTGTCCCCACCCCTGCCCCTAGAATGTAAATGCGATGGGAGGAGCCATCTTCTCCGTCTTTGATACTCCTGAATTCCTAGTGTCTGTAACAGTGTTTGGCACATAACAGGCATTCAGTAGATACCAAGGAAGGCAATGGGTATGGAATTAGGGGGTCTTAGATCTGGTCTTGGCATTGTTCCTAAGTCACTGTTTGTTCGTGATCAAGATCCTTTTCCTCTTTGGGACATGCCTTTTTCATCTATAAACTAGATGATTGAGGTGGATCTCTCTCAACTCCCTTGTAGTTTCAGTATAACTTCTTTAAGCCATGGAGGAATCCTTGATATCAGCAGCAAAAGAATCCCTCTATGCCTTTCTGTCTTCCAAACCATGCTTGGGGTGGGGGAACTTTTCTTGTCCAAAGGCAGCGCAAGGCTAGCATTAGCGCTGGACAGTGAAGCCCTTGAACAACCCTCCAATGGCAACTTGCCCAAATGTCCAGTACCTGGCCTGTTCCTGGGCTTGTTTTGTGGCTTCTTCCAGAGTCAGTCTTGCTGCTTCCTCTTCCTTTTGCCTCCTCTCCTCTGCCTCCAGCTGAGCCTTCTCTTCCGCTTCCTGTTTCCGCTGCTGGTACTCCAATCGTTCCTCTTCAGCCATTTCCATCAGGCGTTTTTGTTCCTCTGCTAACTGCATTTCCAATTCCTTTTGCCTTTGCTTCTCTGCCTCTGGAGAATAGAAAAGAGGGTGGGCTCAGCAGGGATCATTATTGGGGAAAACAATTTTCTGATCCAACTCTCAAATGTGTGATTCTGAGGGACTCCCTGTGAGAAATTTTGCAGTTTAACCAGCTAGCTGGCTGCCAGATCCTCTCTCGGGAGTACCTTGGGGATTAATTTACTAATTTAAGAGTCCTGACCAGGCACGGTGGCTCATGCCTGTAATCCCAGCACTTTGGGAGGCCAAGGTGGGTAGATCACCTGAGGTCAGGAGTTTGAGACCAGCCTGACCAACATGGAGAAACCCCATCTCTACTAAAAATGCAAAATTAGCTGGGTGTGGTGGTGCATGCCTATAATACCAGCTACTTGGGAGGCTGAGGCAGGAGAATTGCTTGAACCCAGGAGGAAGAGGTTTCGATAAGCTGAGATTGCATCACTGCGCTGCAGCCTGGGCAACAAGAGGGAAACTCCGTCTCAAAAAAAAAAAAAAAAGTTTTTTTTATTAAGCACCTACTATGTATAGTACACTATGCAGTTAATACAAAGCCTTGGGGAAGAATTTTTCCAGAGCCCGGTGTGTTTATGTGGTGGTATGAAGCTGGGTTGGGGAGCGGTGTCAGATCAGGGTCTAGAGAAACTTGGTGCTTCCTCAGCTGCACTGAGTCTACAGCCAGAATCAGGAAGTGGCCACAGTGTGGTCTGCTAAAGTTCTTATCTCTTCCTCAAAGGCGTGGCTGGACCCAGCAATCCCACTGCTAGTATATGTCCAAAGGAAAGGAGATCAAAATATTGAGAGATACTTGCACTTGTATGTTTATTGCTGCACTCTTCACAATAGCCAAGATATAGAATCAATATATATGTCCATCGATAGATGAACAGATAAAGAAAATGTGGTATATATACATAATGGAATACTACTTAGCCATAAAAAGAATAAAATTCTGTCTTTTATGACAACGTGAATGATCCTGAGAGGACTTACATTAAGTGAAATAAGCTCGGCATAGAAAAATAAATAAAATGTTTTTAGTCATGGAAAGCTAAAAACATTGATCTCATGGAGGTAGAGAATAGAACAGTGGTTACTAGAGGAAGGGAAGGGTAGGGAGTTGTTGAGGGGTTAGGGAGAGGTTGGTTAAAGTACTAAAGTACACCTAGCTGGGCGCGGTGGCTCAAGCCTGTAATCCCAGCACTGTGGGAGGCCGAGGCGGGTGGATCACGAGGTCAAGAGATCAAGACCATCCTGGTCAACATGGTGAAACCCCGTCTCTACTAAAACTACAAAAAATTAGCTGGGCATGGTGGCGCGTGCCTGTAATCCCAGCGACTCAGGAGGAGGCTGGGGCAGGAGAATTGCCTGAACCCGGGAGGCGGAGGTTGCGGTGAGCTGAGATCGGGCCATTGCGCTCCAGCCTGGGTAACAAGAGCGAAACTCCGTCTCAAAAAAAAAAAAAAAAAAAGTACACCTAGATAGAAGGAATAAGTTCTAGTGTTCTATAGCACTGTAGGTGACTGTAACAACAACCTCTATTTCCAAATAGCTAGAAGAGTAGATTTTTTCTTTTTTTTGAGACAGAGTCTTGCTCTTATTGCCCAGGCTAAAGTGCAATTATGCTATCTTGGCTCACTGCAACCTCTGCCTCCTGGGTTCAAGCAATTCTGCCTCAGCCTCCCGAGTAGCTGGGACTATCGGCACATGCCACTACACCCAGCTAGTTTTTGTACTTTTAGTAGAGAAAGGGTTTTGTCATGTTGGCCAGGCTGGTCTCGAACTCCTGACCTCAGGTGATCCACCTGCCTCACCCTCCCAAAATTCTGAGATTACAAGCGTGAGTTACGACACTTGGCTAGAAGAGTGGATTTTGAAGAAAAAAAAAAGTGGATTTTGAATGTTCCCAACACAAATGATGAATGTTTGAGGTGATGGATATGCTCATTACCCTGATTTGATAATTACACATTGTATATGTGTCAAATATTACATTGTACTCTGTAAATATGTACAATTATTCTATGTCAATTAAAAATAAGTAATAATTTTTAAAAAGAGGCTGGTGAGATTCCACACATCAGCACCTGAAGGTGTCCTGAAACTGTCAGCTGCTTGTGACTGTTTCCGTTTGCTAGGGAAGGAAGAAAGGAGTAAGGCTGTGTCTCCAATTTAGGTAGCTCCTGAGCAATGCTGAAAGGGCAAAGGGAAGGGCAAGGTCCCAGTTCAGGAGGTTGTTGGATTGAGAGAAGGCCTCTGGAGTCACTTCCAAAAGCAAGTCATTACTTTCTTATTTAGATCTATATTAACACACTATAGTCATACATAATCATTTTGAAAAAAATGTTTATATATTTTGAGTGCTTAACACACTAAGGCCTAGGATAGGAATAAATGAACACTCACAGTTGGATAAAAATGTTTCTGCCCCAAATAGAAGAGAGATGCAAAGAGCTCAAGAACCCCCTCACCGGCCCTCTCAGCTTCCTTCTGCTGCTTTTCTCTCTGTAGTTCTCGTAGTTTCCTCCGAAACTCCTCTTGCTGTTGCCGAGCTCTCTCCTGGGCTGCTTTCAACCGGAGCTGCTGCTTTCTCTCCTCCTCCTCCTGCCGCTGCTGTTCTTCTTGGAGTCTCTGTTTCCTCAAGCTGAGAAAACACAAGATGGGCAGGGAAATGGCAGAAAACACTGAGGCATCCTTGTGAGACGAGCCAAAAGACAGTGCCCATGGGGGAGGCTCTGAGCCCACTGGCCACGGGGAGCATCCCATTCCCAGGACACTCAGTTTTCCAAGGGAAGCCAGGATTGAAGAGCAGAGACAAGAGCCCAGTGGGCTAGAAACCAGAGTTTCAGTACACAGCTCTGTACCCTGGCACAAAAGTTCATTTTTCATTCTTAAGGATTTCAAAACTCCTGCCTCACAGGGTTGTTGTGAAGATTAAATTGCAGTTGAGGCCTGTGAAAGGGGCTAGCACAGTGCAGACAGCAAAGCGCAGGAGCCTGGCAAATGTTTGCTGGACTGAATTTCAGGGCCTTCCCAAGAAGATCTGATGACCATCAATGTGAGTAACCCTCACGTGGGGTTGTAAACCTGAATGTGAGTGACATTCAGCAGAATATACCCATGCCCTTGGCTGAGACGCTGCAGCTTTTCTCTGGTCGGTGTTGTTCCTAGGAAAACTGAGGGCAGAGAAAAATAACGCATGCTGTTTTACTTTGGGGCATGAGCCTCAGAACCAAACATTGTCTCTAGGGGAGGTCAACCACTGCCTTCTTTTCTTCTGCTTCTGAACATGGCTGTAGTCTCTTTGGCTTGCCCGACCTACCGCATCTCTTCTGTGCGTCTCTGCTGCTCCAGCTCCAGCTCCTCCTCCATCTTTTTTGCCCTCTCCAGCTGCTCCTGCTGGAGCTGCCTCTGCTCTTCCTGCTCCCTTCTCTTCCTCTCCACCTCCAGCCGCCTCATCTCCGCTCTTTCTGTTCGAAGTCTGTCCTGGGAAGCCTTCTTCTGTTCCCTCTTAGTGAGGAGGGCCTAAGAAACCAGAGTGTTCTCAGTGCAAGGAACAGATAGGTCAGTCTCAGCACTGAGCCCTTCTCCACCCCAGACAATGTTGTCTCTAATCAAAGATGGCCTCATAAAGCAGACTCCATACTCTGCCCACAGCTGCAGACTCAGCTGCCACCAGCTTGGACTTTTGGGTCTGACTGACCTTGATTCAACTCTGTCTCTTACTTGCTCTGGGATTTAGGGATTACAACTTAAACTTCCCGATATTGTCTTCTTCATGATATTGTCGCCAGGATTAGCTGAAATAATGAAAGTGCCAACATAATGTCCAGTACATGGTAGGTTCTAGAGTTCTCAACCCTAGCTGCACTTTAGAATTACCCAAGGAGCTTTCAAAAATTACTTGAGACTGGGCACAGTGGCATTTTGGGAGGCTGAGGTGGGAGGATTGCTTGAGCCCAGGGGTTCAAGGTAACAAGTGACCTATGATCATGCCACTGCACTCCTGGGTGACAAAGCAAGACTCTGTCTCAAAACTATATAAATACCTGGCACAGTAGCTCATGCCTGTAATCCCAGCACTTTGGGAGGCCAAGGTGGGCGGATCATGAGGTCAAGAGATTGAGACCATCCTGGCCAATATGGTGAAACCTTGCCTGTACTAAAAATACGAAAATCAGCTGGGCACGGTGGCGCACACCTGTAGTCCCAGCTACTTGGGAGGCTGAGGCAGGAGAATTGCTTGAACCCTGCAGGCGGAGGTTGCAGTGAGTCAAGATCACACCACTGCACTCCAGCCTGGCGACAAAGTAGGACTCTGCCTCAAAAAAAAAAAAACCACATATATATATATATTTACATATGATGGTTATATATATGTATGAATATATGTATGTATATGTACATATATATACACACATACATGCATATATACACACATACATGCATACATACACCACACACACACACACACACACACTCAACACACACACACACACACACACAAATAAAAACAAAAGTACCTGAGGCCAAGACTCTACCCAGACCAATGAAAATCTCTAGGTGGAAGCCCTCAGTTGTTGAAAAATTTCTTGAGTGATTCTAACATGAAGCCAGAGTTGGGAACCACAGGTTCTAGATAGAAGCTATTTTACCAGGGCAATCTCAGGTATAGATGGGTCAGACTCACATTTAATCCCATAGAAACTCACCTTTCCAATGGAAGGTTGTTATTTCAGTTTATATGAAGGTTGTTATAGCTTTCCTTTTCTCCCTAATGCCTCTTCCTCAGAAATATGCCTATGAAGGAACCTTGAGAGGCAAGCCTTCCAGGAACTCTGTGTATCCAACTCAGAGAAAAATCTCCCTGCTTTTTAGCCTTTGCAGAGGCAGCACAATACTATGACAATAAATCTAAGACATGTTGATGATCACGCAGGCTCAGAAAAGTTCTGCCCATAGGTTGAAATTTTCATCTGTTGTGCAGAGTGGAATTTTGTGATCCCGGCAGCTGGGAGAGACTGAGAACTATAGAGGAAAATCTTCCTGGAATCCTTTTTGGAAGACCATGGGCCATAAAATAAGTAAATAGATAATAATTTAAAATAGTGACAAGAGTCCTGAACTTAGAGTCAAAGGACCTAAGCTTAAGTCTTGGCTCTACCACTCAATGGTTGCGTAATTTCTGGCAATCTGCATTTAACTCCCTCTAGCTTCTATTTCTGGATCTGTAAAATGGGGCTAATCATAGTTGGCTCACAGTGTGGTTGTAAAGGTTAATGTAACATATGTGAGTTTAACCATGGTGGCTTAGCCGTGTGTGCATTTGTAGTGTTTAAAGCTACTTTTTAATTTTTTGTATAAGATGTCAAAATGAAGTTCAGTACCTTAGTCTCAGTGGAAGAAATAGTAATCTATTCTAACATCAGAAGGAAAATTGGTTGTGTTGGTCATACTGACAGATGATGTCTCTATATGGTACTCTTTTTTGGTTAATTGCAGGGACTTCCTTCCTTCCTTCCTTCCTTCCTTCCTTCCTTCCTTCCTTCCTTCCTTCCTCCCTCCCTCCCTCCCTCCCTCCTTCCTTCCTTCCTTCCTTCTTTCTTTTTTCTCTCTTTGTTTCTTTTCTTTCTTTCTTTTTTTGGTTACAGATAGAATCTTGTCCTGCTGCTCAGGCTGGAGTGCAGTGGCATAAACATAGCTCACTGCAGCCTCAAACTCCTGATCTTAAGCAATGCTCCTGCCTTGGCCTCCCAAAGTGCTGGGATTACAGGGATGTGCCACCGCATCGGGCCTAATTGCAGCAATTTTCAAGGTTAATTTTTCCTTACACTCAGTTTTCTCTTCAGACCTCCGCATAAGAATCAAAGCCTCTGGAACAAAGTGACTCTTACATGCAAAAGCACCCTTTGTATTTTTTTCTTTTTTGAGATGGAGTATTGCTCTGTCGCTCAGGCTGGAGTGCAGTGGCATGATCTTTGCTCACTGCAACCTCTGCCTCCCGGGTTCAAGCAATTTTCTCACATCATACTCCCTAGTAGCTGGGATTACTTGCACACACCACCATGCCTAGCTAAATTTTATATTTTTAGTAGAGATAGGGTTTCACTATGTTGGCCAGGCTGGTCTCTAACTCTTGACCTCATGATCCGCCCACCCCAGCTTCCCAAGGAGCTGGGATTACAGGCGTGAGCTACTGTGCCCGGCCCAAAAGCACCTTGTAAAAACAGATATATGTATACAGTATCTGTTTTATATATGTATACATACTGCCTCTGTTCCAGCTGTATACCACAGAAACACAGATTAGGAAAGCAGAAATTTCCACAGCCTTTGGGAGGCAAGCAATAGATGAGCCCTAGCCTAAGTCAAGTAAATATGCTTGACTCTGATAGCCAGTATCCACCTTTCCCTGTAACCATGAGTCCTGCACCCCTCACAGATGGGTACTGTGCTCATTATCCACCCTATTCTTTACAGGGTGGATACTTGCCCTGGCAGTGTGGGGGCCTCACAGAATGCATCACTTCAGAGGGGTTTTGCCACCCCTGCATCTTTGATCAGGTCTTACTAGGGTCAGAAGATACCAAAGGAGAACAATAAGACCATTAGGTATTAGAGCTGTTTCAGTAAGTGCAATATAATTAAGGGCAGCTTTTCTCACCTCTGCACTTGTGCCAAGTGAGGACAGAACTCCCTCTGTCAAGCCGAGGACATCAGACTTGACTTTGGAAGGGTCCTCACAGCTTCTCTCTCCTTTAGGTTCCATGTTGCCAGTGACAGTTGCAATCTGGGAGGGTGATGATCTTCCATCTAGAGAAACTTGGGTCTCCTGGGCATCATATTTGGGAGAAAGCCAAGGGTCCTCTACAAAGGAGTCTGAAGCGAAGGAACTTCTATTTGAGGTGTCTTCTGTTTCCTCAGAGTGAATGACATCAGGCCCACTCTGCTCTGCCGCTTTCTCCAGATTTCTTTCCTTCAGTGTCCTTTTCCTTTGGGCTCCTGGGTTTTTTTCTAAATTTTTTTTAGCCTTTGAGTCCTTTGATTTTCCTGGGGCAGAACAATTGGGAATAGAGACATAGCTGAGTTAATGTGATCTCTAGACATCATTTTTAGTAACTTTTTTTTTTTTTTTTTTTTTTGAGATAGGGTCTTGCTCTGTCATCCAGGCTGGAGTAGTCACCCAGTAGCATGATCATGGCTCATTGCAGCCTTGATCTCCTGGGCTCAAGTGATCCTCCCACGTCAGCCTCCTGAGTAGCTGGGACTGCAGGTGCACCACCATGTCCAGCTAATTTTTGTATTTTTTGTAGAAATGGGGCTTTGCCTCTTAAAGGAGAACTACAAGCCACTGCTCAATGAAATAAGAGAGGACACAAACAGATGGAGAAACATTCCATGTTCATGGTTAGGAAGAATTGATATCGTGAAAATGGCCATACTGCCCAAAGTAATTTACAGATTCAATGCTATCCCCATCAAGCTACCAATGACCTTCTTCACAGAACTGGAAAAAATCACCTTAAACTTCATATGGAATCAAAAGAGAGCCCGCATAGCCAAGTCAATTCTAAGCAAAAAGAACAAAGCGGGAGGCATCACACTACTGGACTTCAAACTATACTACAAGGCTACAGTAATCAAAACAGCATGGTACTGGTACCAAAACAGAGATATAGACCAATGGAACAGAACAGAGGTCTCAGAGGCAACACAACATATCTACAACCATCTGATCTTTGACAAACCAGACAAAAACAAGCAATGGGGAAAGGATTCCCTGTTCAATAAATGGTGTTGGGAAAGCTGGCTAGCCATGTGCAGAAAGCAGAAACTGGACCCCTTCCTGATACCTTACACTAAAATTAACTCCAGATGGATTAAAGACTTAAACATAAGACCTAACACCATAAAAACCCTAGAAGAAAATCTAGGCAAAACCATTCAGGACATAGGTGTAGGCAAGGACTTCATGACCAAAACACCAAAAGCATTGACAACAAAAGCCAAAATAGACAAATGGGACCTAATCAAACTCCACAGCTTCTGCACAGCAAAAGAAACAGTCGTTAGAGTGAATCGGCAACCAACAGAATGGGAAAAAATTTTTGCAGTTTACCCATCTGACAAAGGGCTGATATCCAGAATTTACAAAGAACTAAAACAGATTTACAAGAAAAAAAACTAACAAGCCCATTCAAAAGTGGGCAAAAGATATCAACAGACACTTTACAAAAGAAGACATACATGAGGTCAACAAACATATGAAAAAATGCTCATCATCACTGGTCATCAGAGAAATGCAAATCAAAACAACATTGAGATACCATCTCACGCCAGTTAGAATGGCGATCATTAAAAAATCTGGAGACTATCGCTTCTCGGCCTTTTGGCTAAGATCAAGTGTAAAAAATCTGGAGACTAGGCCGGGCACGGTGGCTCACGCCTATAATCCCAGCACTTTGGGAGGCCGAGGCGGGTGGATCACGAGGTCAAGAGATCAAGACCATCCTGGTCAACATGGTGAAACCCCGTCTCTACTAAAACTACAAAACATTAGCTGGGCATGGTGGCACGTGCCTGTAGTCCCAGCTACTCAGGAGGCTGAGGCAGGAGAATTGCCTGAACCCAGGAGGCGGAGGTTGCAGTGAGCCGAGATCGGGCCATTGCACTCCAGCTTGGGTAACAAGAGCAAAACTACGTCTCAAAAAAAAAAAAAAAATCTGGAGACAACAGATGCTGGAGAGGATGTGGAGAAATAGGAACACTTTTGCACTGTTGGTGGGAGTGTAAATTAGTTCAACCATTGTGGAAGACAGTGTGGCGATTCCTCAAGGACCTAGAAATAGAAATTCCATTTGACCCAGCAATCCCATTACTGGGTATATATCCAAAGGATTACAAATCGTTCTACTATAAGGACACGTGCACACGAATGTTCATTGCAGCACTGTTTACAATAGCAAAGACCTGGAACAAACCCAAATGCCCATCGACGATAGACTGGATAGGGAAAATGTGGCATATATACACCATGGAATATTATGCAGCCATCAAAAACGATGAGTTTGTGTCCTTTGTAGGGACATGGATGAACCTGGAAACCATCATTCTCAGCAAACTGACAGAACAGCAGAAGATCAAACACTGCATGTTCTCACTCATAGGCGGGTGTTGAACAATGAGAACACATGGACACAGGGAGGGGTGCACTACACACTGGGGTCAGTTGGGGGGAAATAGGGGAGGGACGGTGGGGGGTGGGGAGCTGGGGAGAGATAGCAAGGGGAGAAATGCCAGATGTAGGTGATGGGGAGGAAGGCAGCAAATCACACTGCCACGTGTGTACCTATGCAACAATTTTGCATGTTCTTCACATGTACCCCAAAATCTAAAATGCAATAAAATAAATAAATGGGGAGAACAAACAAACAAACAAACAAAAAAACAAAACAAAAAAAGAAATGGGGCTTTGCCATGTTGCCCAGGCTAGTCTCTAATCTCTGAGCTCAAGAAATCTGCTCACTTCCCAAAGTGATGGGATTACAGGTGTGAGCCACCATGCCTGGCCCCTTTTTAGTAACTTTTAAAAGTTAGTATGCAATAGAATCACCTGCGGTGCAGATTCCTGAGCCCCAGCCCCAGAATCTGGTTCAGTGGGAATCTGCATTGTAACAAACACCCCGTGTGTTTTGGGAAGAGTAGTTTGCAGACCACCCTTGCTATTAAATAAGTTCTATTTCACTCCGACTTACAGTAGGGGCAGGACTGCCCAGAAGGGAGGCTTATAGACACAGCTGGAAAGTCATGCCTTGAGAGTCTGGCTTGAGGTTGCAGCTTTGTAACCTGGCAAAGTTTAGCTTTCCACACTCTAAGGACCCTCCCTTCACTTCACCTTTGGTGGGGACACCACAAGTATTTCCTTTTCCTAATCCTGCCAATGCTACCCAACTCATGGTCTACAGAAATGTAAACTCAGAAAGAGTTAAACAAGCAAATCTCAAAAATAGATTTTGCTCAGGAGCGTACCCATTGTTGTCCTTTCCAGCAGCATTGGATTTGTTTGGAGGGTATTCTGTACCATGTGGGAAGTAAAGAATGGGTGTAAGTTTTAGGCTAAAGAAAGTCTTCAGAAGCACAGGAATCTGAGTTCCTGGTCAGGGAATCAAGACAGAAACCGTAGCTTGGAGGATCATTCAACACTGTGGCATCCTTCCCCTTCCCAAATGCTCTCACTACCCAATACTCCGATTATGTGATATAGTTATTATTTTATGGAGGCAGTAGTAATAGAATCTGTTAGGAGTCAAATAGGAAAGGACAAACCCTGGGTCTACCACTTTACTGTCTGATCTGCTTGATGTTACGCAAGTCACCCAACCTTGCTAAACCTCAGTTGCTACATGAATATAATAATAAAACTTCCTTCATGGAGATGTTGTGAGGATTTAATGAGATCATATATACAGAGTCCTAATAGAGTAGGTATTCAGTAAATAGGTGCTGTTATTATTATACTTTCTTTTCTTGGTGAACACAGGCCTCTAGTCTCCCCATTTTCCTCTATCTCTATCTATTAAGATATTGACATGAAGTAAGGCTGCAACACCATCCTAGCTCTAGTGGTCAAGGAGACTCAAAACAGAGCGTTTGTCTGGTAGGATCCATGCTAATTACCCACACCACCTCCCGACCCCCAGTAGGAGTTTTCTCCAGTTTTTGTTACTTGCCAGCACATTCTCTTACCGACGGCAGCCTCTGCTTCCCTGTAGATCTTTCCTTCTCTCTCTCTCTTGAGTGCTTTCGTTTTGTCTGTCTTGAGTCTTTTCTTTCTTTTGGCTTTGTCAATCAGATCCCTCTCCTAAAGGTGAAAAATCAAGAAAGGGGACCATGATATTTATAGGAAATGAACAAAAAGAAAAAACCATCAAAGAAGACTGTGTTGAACAAGGTGACAGACTGGCTTAGAATGGAATTTGTGTGAGTTCCAGGTAAAGCAGAAGAATGAATCTTAGAGAATGCAGAGCCAATGGGGAGATTCAAAGGTTCAACCTTTGATGTAAAACTGCTAGGAATAATTTCATTAGCGAAAAGAGGAGGAAAACATACTTTATGGTCTGCCTCCTTTCTTAGATTCTAATTCATGATCTACAGAGCTGGATCAAAGTGAAACAGTTTTTACCTTTGCTAGATTGGTGTTGCCATGATTAATGGTTAACTATTGTAAATCAAAACCAGCTTTATTCACTGCAGAATTATTTGCTAACTTTCAGGAAACCTCAGGGAGATGACCACCTTTCTCCATGGGCTGGAACAACACAGTTCTTCCTCCTAAGAGGATGGCAGAATGGGGCAGTGACCACCCACTCAGTACCTTTGTAGGAATTAGAAATGGGCTGGGCGTGGTGGCTCATGCTGTAATCCCAGCACTTTGGGAGGCTGAGGTGGGTGGATCACTTGAGGTTAGGAGTTTGAGACCAGCCTGGCCAACATGGTGAACCTCCATCTCTACTGAAAAAAATACAAAAATTAGCTGGGAGTAGTGGGACATGCCTGTAATCCCAGCTACTTGGGAGGCTGCGGCAGAAGAATCACTTGAACCCGGGAGGTGGACGTTGCAGTGAGCTGAGATTGTGCCACTGCACTCCAGCTTGGGTGACACAGAGAGACTGTGTCTCAAAAAAAAAAAAAAAAAAAAAAAGGAATTAGAAATGGATGCTCCATCCTTCATGAGGCTGCAGCCCAATGTGGCTGTACAGGGCTTCGTAAGCAGAACACAGGCTGGACTTAATGCTCCCCTCATTCGCTTTATACAAAAATGCCGCCCTCATAGTGAGCACTCTATACAACTGTACATGGTATCCTTGATGAGATCCAGGTAGGGCTTTCAGACTGAGCTTTTAGGTGTTTACACTCACATGACCGATGCTGGCTGTCTCTTGGCTAAATAGTCTTGGTTCAGCCTTCCCTTCTCTTTCTCTTGGAAGAAGAGATGTATACACAGCACTCAACCTCTCTGGTGACTCAGGCCTGTGTCCCGGAAGTCCTCTGTGGAGGTGGTGTACATCATAATCTCTGCTCCTTTGAAAAGAGCACACCAACAGGACCAAACTAAAGAAAAAAACTCTGGTGGAAAGAAGGAGGGCAAGTGAACCAACATTGAGCACCTGTTCTCTGCAGGCCCTGTGCCTGACATTTGGCATACTCAGTCAACGCTTTTTCTTCTGCATATCCCATGGTAAGGAAGATCAGAAAGATTGGTCTTCACTTTTGGGGTTTCCTCAGATAAATCCTAAAACTCAGAGAGTAGGAGAAGTCATTTGCTCTTTGGGGTTGCATATTTATGCTTTTAATTGAATGACAAAGAATTATTTAACTGAAATTTCTTCAATCGAAGGATTAGCTGGAAAAAGAAAGTGACCTTTAAGAAAGATTGTGTTGGGAACATGTAACTATCCATTCAGTCCTTTATGCCCTCTGACTTCTATCTTTATCAAATTCAGCCACTAAGAGGTCATGTGCTGTGGTGGTTTTATCCATTGTAGAATTGCTGTCACTCACTGAGTGCCCTGAGGATAACTGACTTATGCCCTCTGGGTAAAAAGGCCACTGAAAAACAGCCCCATGCATTGCAGTGACAGGAGCAATAGCAGCTACTGTGTGCCAGGCCTGGTTCTGGGCATTTTATTTTATTTTTTTTTAGCTAAATGAGTATTCTCTTTACTGTGCTCTACAGGGCCTTACTGTAGAAACTTGAGAAATATTTGTTCAATGAGGTGAATGGAATTTCCTGTAAATATATGAGTCTTTAAATCATTCAATGTCACTCTATAAAAGCCCATAGGAGAAGTCTCCTTTAGAATTTAGTGCTTGGAAAACCTTTAATTTCCCTGAGGAATAGGTATGCTGCAAATGAGAACCACAAACCTGATTGTTTTACTTTTTTTTTTTCAGAAATCTCTGTGTCAGGAATCCCTCTGTCAAGCCTGAAATTAAGTCATGAAGACTGTAATGACTTTTGTGGAAGTTTGTGTTTTTTGCTCCTGATTTAAAAGATTTCTTTTTGATTATTTCGTGTTTTTTGGTGGAGGGAGGGTGGTTGTCATAAGCATTTAAAATACATTGTGAGCAAAGATCAGGTATAAAAATTTAAAAATGGAGTTCCTCTGGTGGCTGTCTCATTCATCGAAGTGCCTTTCCCCCTTTACTTCTGGGGAACGCAAAAGCTTTTTGACCCAGGAGGGAATCTTTACATCCCAGGGCAGGTGAGGGCAGGTTTTTGGGAGGTCACAATAGGCTCTAGTTCCAGATGGAGGCAGAGAGGCCACACCAGCTCCCACTGCCAAAGGGGGCTTAAATCAAAACACTATGCCTGACTGGCCGGGCTCACAGGAAGCACATTGGTACAGTACACAGGAAGCACTCAATACAGGCTAGCAATTATTATTAATATTGGTGTTAGGATTATTAGCATTATTTATTTTACTCAGCGCTGATTGAATGCTGAGGGGAGAAACCCAGGTTGAAGTGATAGATTTCAGCTTTCTAGGCATCTGTGTAGATTTCAGATTGGACAAATGGAAAGAGCTGTTTCCCCATGGTTAGAGTTAACTTCACCCTTCACCCACCCATTCAAATAATATGGTTTTTAGGTAGGAAACACACCACAATATAGTCATCCGCAGAATCTTTGTTTCTTAGACAGCCATTTAATTTTGGCTGTCAGAGCACACTGTCAGCTGAGAATTCTCATGCCTGTCAGAAAATAACCAAACTAAATGAATTAAAAATACAAACAAAGTAAAAGCAGAGAAGCTCGTGTTATTACAACTTTGAACACTTACACCTTTTGCACAGTATCTGCGTCTGGGGTCTGGATGTGCTCAGTCCGGGAAGCACTGAGAGAGTCAAGGGTCATACTCCTTGGCTCTGGGTCTGTGAAAACAGAGTATCAATCAATAAAGGACAATAGGCAGTTATCCTAGGAGGCGATCAGACATGGAAAAATGTCTACCTGGTGAGAGTCAAAGGCATGCAAATTAGAACAATGACGTATGCTATACCTAGAAAATTAGCAAATGCTTCAGAAACCAGGGCTGGCACATGGCAAGTAACATTTAAATTAGTATTAAAATATCCTTTGGGAAAGTGATATGACAGTATGTATCAGCAATCAGAAAAATGTTTTAGCCTTTGATCAGGAATCTCACTCCTGGGTATTTATCATAAGGAAAGAATTCAAAAGAAGAAACAAGCTTTTTGTACCAACTTACTTATTATAGCATTACTATTAATAATGGAAAATTGGAAACAGCTCAACAAGGGAGATTGGGGAAGTAATTTATGATACATTAACTTGACATTTAAAATTATGGTTAAAAAGATAAACAATATGGAAAATATGATGTGACAAGTAAAAATATAAACTACAGAATAGTGTGTTAGAACGTTATAACATCTGGATGGATACAAACTGGAAGAGAAAACAGAAAAAGGAAATAATAGATAACATTGGGAGGTTAACATGTATTTATATTTCCCCAGTATGGGTATAACATTGAGAAGCAAGTTGATTTTCGCCGGGCGCAATGGTTCATGCCTATAATCCCAGCACTTTGGGAGGCCAAGGCAGGCAGATCATGAGGTCAGAAGTTCTAGACCAGCCTGGCCACCATAGTGAAATCCTATTTCTACTGAAAATACAAAAATTAGCCGGGCATGGTGGTGTGTGCCTATAATCCCAGCTACTCGGGAGGCTGAGGCAGGAGAATCGCTTCAACCCAGGAGGCAGAGGCAGAGCAAAACTCCATTTAAAAAAAAAAAAAAGTACATATGGTCTGATTCCATTTATGTAAAATTCTAGAAAATGCAGACTAATCTGTAGTGACAGAAAGCACATCAGTGGTTGTCTAGGGATGAAGGAGGCTGGAATGGGGGAGGTATGAGGAAATTTTAGCAGTGATGAATATTTTATTTTGATTGTGGTGATGGTTTCATGAGAATTATACAATTTCAAAAGGTCTAATTTATTGTATGTCAATTATCCCTTGATAAAGCTGCTTTAAAAAAGTAGGAAGAGATATGTTAATACAAGAAAAGTGCCTAAACTCGTGCCAGCATACGGTAAAAACGAACAAGAACCAAAAAAATCTCACCATGCCCGCTCTCTTTACCCATATACAGCTACTGCAAATATTTTGGTGTATTTACTTTCATGTATATATAAAATGAATATATCATATCATATTTCCATAGAATTGATTAGTATATATTCAATTTTAATCTACTTTTATAATTTTCCCATATAATATTCTTAAAAAAATTTTTTTTTTAATTCTTAGAGACACAGCCTCGCTCTGTTGCTCAGGGTGGAGTGCGGTGGCATGATCACAGCTCACTGTAACTTTGAACTCCTGGGCTCAAGGGATCCTCCCACCTCAGCCTCCTGAGTAGCTGAGGCTACAGGTGTACACCACCACACCCAGCTAATGTTTGAAAATTTTAATTTTTGTAGAGACAAGGTCTCATCATATTGTACAGGCAGGTCTCAAACTCTTGGTCTCAAGTGATCCTCCTGCCTCAACTTCCCAAATTGTTGAAATGACAGGCATAAGCTGCCACACCTGGCCTAAATGTTCTTAAAAAATGATTTTAGACTGGATGTGGTGGCTTATGTCTGTAATCTCAGGACATTGGGAGGCTGAGGCAGGCAGATCGCTTGGGCACAGGAGTTTGAGACCAGTCTGGGAAACATGGCGAGACCCTGTCTCTACAAAAAAATAGAGAAATTAGCTGGGCATGGTGCCATGCGTCTGTCGTCCCAGCTACTCAGGTGGGTGAGGTGGGAGGATTGCTTGAGCTTGGGAGGTCGAAGCTGTAGTGAGCTGTGATGGTGCCACTGCACTCCAGCCTGAAAGACAGAGAGGGACCCTGTCTCAAAAAAATTTTTTTAATAGCACAGTATGTTATCATATGAATGTACCATGTGTGACTTAACCAAACATGTAATTAAAAAAATTCATATTGCTTCTATTTTGTATAACTATAAAGAGTTTTGCATAGAATATTCTTTTTTTTTTTTTTTTGAGACGGAGTTTCACTCTTGTTACCCAGGCTGGAGTGCAATGGCACGATCTCGGCTCACCGCAACCTCCGCCTCCTGGGTTCAGGCAATTCTCCTGCCTCAGCCTCCTGAGTAGCTGGGATTACAGGCATGCGCCACCATGCCCAGCTAATGTTTTTTGTATTTTTAGTAGAGACGGGGTTTCACCATGTTGACCAGGATGGTCTTGATCTCTTGACCTCGTGATCCACCCGCCTTGGCCTCCCAAAGTGCTGGGATTACAGGCTTGAGCCACCGCGCCCGGCTGCATAAAATATTCTTGAAAGGAATTTTTGTTTTGTTTCTGAGACAGTCTCGCTCTGTCGCCCAGGCCGGAGTGCAGTGGTGCAATCTCGGCTCACTACAACCTCCACCTCCTGGGTTCAAGTGATTCTCATGCCTCAGCCTCCTGAGTAGCTGGGATTACAGGCATGCACCACCATGCCTGGCTAATTTTTGTATTTGTAGTAGAGATGGGGTTTTGCTATGTTGGGCAGGCTGGTCTTAAATCCTGGCCTCAAGTGATCCACCTGCCTCGGCGTTCCAAACTACAGGTGTGAGCCACCGCATCCGGCTAGGAATGTTTTGATTATTAAAAAATGCACTCTTTGTCCACATTTCTGATTATTAACAGATGTACAGTCCTCAAATCACAATGCCTACTGCCAAATTTTTCCCCAGAAAATTTGTACCAATTTGTACTCCAAAAAAAAGGTTATTCCTTCCGTCATTTATCAGATTTACTGAATATTTACTAAATGCCAGGCATTGTGCAAGGTGCTGGGAATATGGCGGTGAATCAGTTAGACACAGATGCTGGTCTAAGGGAGCTTACATTCCAGTGGGGAAGATGAATATTAAAACAAACAAAACCTCAAAACACAAAACTGTTTTTGAAAGGAAGACTCTAATATTCAATTTGTGCCTTTCTGAGAAGTAGATTCTTGCATGAATTAATTAATTTAGACTCAGTTTTATTTATTTGAAGATATTATACTTTTAAAGAAAGATTTGAAAAGAAAAAATTCACCCATTATCGGCATCATTCCCTTAATACTGTGGTTAATCCATTTTTCTTTTTTCTTTCTTTGAGACGTAGTCTCACTCTGTCCACCAGGCTGGACTGTAGTGGCTCGATTTTGGCTCACTGCAACCTCTGCTTCCTGGGTTCAAGCAATTCTCTGCCTCAGCCTCCCGAGTAGCTGGGATTACAGGCGCCTGCCACCACGCCCAGCTAATTTTTTTATTGTTAGTAGAGGTGAGCTTTCACCATTTTGGCCAGGCTAGTCTTGAACTCCTGACCTCGTGTTCCATCCGCCTTGGCCTCCCAATGCTGGGATTGCAGGTGTGAACCACTGCACCCAGACTGTTAATCCATTTTTCAATGTTTGGTTGTGGTTTCCCCACCCAAGAGCTTCTTTACAACCTGGGTTTCCTTCTACCTCTACTCAGGTTCAGGGAGGTAGATGTCCGCTGTATCACACATCTTTAGAGGAGGCACAAGACTATTAACGCACAAAGGTGGTTAAGGAAACTGGAAACATTGACCAGGCTGTACCTTGGAATTTATTTTGTCTTGGATAATATGTAACATTAACAGAGAGCAGAAGCTGGTCGAGTATCTTTGTGTCGAAGGGTAGTTCTGTGAGGGTTTCTTTCCTTAACATCGCTGGCTGGGAAAAAACTCATTGAAGACCCTCACTGCTCTTCACTTTTGAACTCTGGGACAGGGCATGAAAGGACCAGCAGAGGGCGCATTTGTATTGACCAAAAGCTTGTTCTACATTGAAACTTCCATTGTCATTAGAATTGAAACCCTGTCGGTTTGGGGATGTGGACCATAGAAGGGTGTTTTTTTTTTTTTTTTTTTTTTTTTTTTTTTCCCTCTCTCTTAGTAAAATAACCTGCTATTTAGGAAGTATTGAAACAAACGAAGTCAGTGCTTTGAATAATAACGTACAACTTTTAACTACCTTAAAAAAGTGTATACAGGCCAGGTGTGGTGGCTCACGCCTGTAATCCAAGCACTTTGGAGGCCAAGGCGGGCGGATCACCTGAGGTCGGGAGTTCAAGACCAGCCTGACCAACATTCTGAAACCCCGTCTTTAAAAAATAGTCTATACAATATCTTAATCATTCATAGTATTGGAAAAATACTGTACAATAATTGCCTATAGATTTGCCACTTAGTTTTGTGAAATTTTAACATTTTGCCATATTCAAGTCTTGTATTTTCTAAAGAAATAAAACATAAAAAAATAAAAATAAAATAAAACATTTAAGACACAGTCCAAGACTTCATTGTATCACGTGCTACTATGGTTTGAATGTTATCGTTTCCTTTAAAATTCATCTGTTGAAAACTAAATATTCAATGCAGCAGTGTTGGGAAGTGGGGCTTAAACAAAAGGATTTAGGTCATGGAGGGCTCCATCCTCATGAATAGATTAATGCTGCTATAAAAAGCGTTTGTCGTCTGGGCACAGCAATGCACACCTGTAATACCAGGTACTCGGGAGGCTGAGACACTGGATCGTGTGAGCCCAGGAATTCAGGGTTAGCCTGGGTGCATACAGAGACCTCATCTCTAAAAAAAGAAAAAGGGCTTGTGGGAATGGAGTCTCTCTCTCTCTCTTTTTTTTTTTTTTTGAGATGGAGTCTTGCTCTGTTGCCAGGCTAGAGTGCAGTGGTGTGATCCCAGCTCACTGCAACCTCTGCCTCCCAGGTTCAAGTGATTCTCCTGCCTCAGCCTCCTGAGTATCTGGGATTACAGGTGCATGCCACCACGCCCAACTAGTTTTTGTACTTTTAGTAGAGACGGTGTTTCACCATG